TCCTGTACGCCGCCTTCCTGGGGCTGGTAAGCGGCGGGCAGGCGAGCGCCTGCGGGGAACCCGACCTTCCCCGACGGAGTCTCTCCTTCGCCCTGCACGTTGAGTCACCTTGAGTGCTTTCAATGAATCGGCCGAGGCCTCAGTTTCGTCTTCTGGGAATCCGGCGCAGTTCTCGTCGCGGAGGGTCATCGGCACGTGTGAAACGGATTTCCCTAACGTGCTGTCCAACTGCACCAGATCTTTCTGGCTCCTGGGTGCGCTGGGAGACGCAAGAGGGATTGCTCGGGACTTTGGCGGCTCCCTCTGCGCCCGCGCATTCAAGCCCTGAAAGCTGCTGTTTGGAATTTCTTGTTCTTGGTGGTCTGACCAAATTCAAGCAGTTTTTAGTCTTGCAAGTAGCGAAATGGCCCCAGAGAAAAAGCTCACCTTTCCAGGTCACAAAGCTGGTGAAATGTTACAACCAGGAACATCTCTCACTCTGCAGACAGTTCTATTTAAGAATAAATTCAGGCCTCAGAACCTTAAATGCTTTCTTGCAGCAAAGTGTAAGGCTAAAAGCGCTTTTTACCACTTTTTGCTAAATCTGTTAGTTTTTGCTTCTGCAGGGTCGGGAGAGCCAGTTTTGAGGATAGTCACTCTGGTCCCTTAGCATCTCAGGGAATCAGAGCCCCAATTGTTTACAGACCGTTTTGATAGGGGAGAGGATGAGAAAGGTATCACTGCAGAAGCTTGGTGAGCTCTGCTTTTGTGTCGAGTCTTCTCGAACCTTTGGAGAAGTGCATTATTTCTTTAGAGCCAGTAATCATGCTTTTTTCCTTGCACCTAACCCTTTTTGTGGGTTTGTGCCCACCACGCTTTCTTAGTCCACTGACTGCTCTGGCTTGGACAGAGGATACATTGTGCCTTTGGAGCAGAACAGTACAATCAGAATCAATTTCTCTCGAAATATAAATGAATTAAGATTTTTTAAAGTTCAACAAATGTAAAAATGATCTCTAACTTAGTTGTAACACATTGGTCTAGGTAAATTTATTAATATTCTATGCATGTGTATGGAATATTTTCTAAGGAGGCTTTGAGGACTAGTCCTGATGACTGGATTTTCTTTGATAAAAGTAGATTGAGTGGACCAGGGATTTAGCTCGATGGTGCCGCTGCCTGCCTCACAAGTGCAAGGACCCGTGTTTGATCTCTGGTGCCAAAAAAAAAAGAAAGAAACTATCTCCTGAATATTGTCCGTGTGTCGTTCAGAGGAAGGACCCCATGTGCACCAGAGATATTGTTGTATCAACATGTAATATGGGAAACTATTTCGATAATTAAAAAATTTGACATCTAAATTCCTATTTTATTCGTAAATGTAGTGTATTTCAAAATAGAGCCAAGTATTGTCACCTCTTATTAACTATTAATGTAGTTTTGTCACCTCTTTTTATTAATGTAGAATAGTCTTAAAGTACTGTTCCAAAACTAAACAGAATTGGAACAAAAGCCAGAAAAATTGAAGTTGTTTTTTTTTTAACTTGAGAATTGAGGGTAAAGAAAAAACACTGGAAGTCTATAGCCCTAGTACGGTATAAATGGTAGCCTGCCTGTTTCCTGTTGGACGTAAGCCCCTATATTACGTTGTAATCCACCCCCATCTTTTTTTTTTTTTTCATGGCAAAACCAGTTTGCCACTTAGATATCATTTTAATTGTAAGTAAATAATGTTTTGTCTTTTTAATTTTTAGGGAATGAGTGTTGCTTTACTGGGACCCACGTTTCAAGATTTGGCACGAAATGTAAACCAAAATATCAGCAGTCTTTCTCTAATTTTTGTGGGCCGGGCATCTGGATATTTGTGTGGCTCTATGATTGGTGGTATTCTTTTTGACTGTATGAATCATTTTATAGTTTTGGGTAAGGAAACACTGATTTCTGCTTGTTTGTGACTTTTTTTTTCAACGTTGGCTATGAATGTGAAAAATAATAGCTTGCAGAATAGTTGACAACTGAAATGGATAGCGTTCTGTGAACTCAGTGGAAGGTGGGTTTCCCTGCTATCACCCTGACATTTGTGTGTGTGAGCTATCCTTAGCCTTCTGGGCCTTCGTGTATTTAGTGTACCCTTCCAGGCTGGCAGACTGGACATCCAAAAAGTTCTGGTTATCAAGATCTTCTAGGGCCACGGAGATCAGAATGAGCTCCTAGTACCTTTCCAGAGTCTACAACCTCTGGATTGAAAGTGAAGGGGTAGGGAGTGGTGAATGAACAGATACGAGCTACATTTTATTCCTGTTACATCATGCAGTGGTGACCCCTGACTACCATACTCTGGAAACATGGCGAAGATTTAAACATACTCTGTTTTGACTAGGTTGCTGTGTTTAAAGAACACAGCTTTGCAAGTAAGGGGAATAATTTACTGCTGATGCATAAATAGTTTTCCAAAACAGATTGAATGTATTTCTTGTGTTTCCCTCTGTATTTCCCAAAATGATTTATTTAGTTTTATTACAAACTACCATACCGATTATTATTTTCTGTTTGCCTTTTTACATCATATCTAAAATTTTTTATATATTTAAATGGGAAAATTCTATAATATATAAATACATTTTGTCCTTTTTTTGCTATAAAACTTTACTTTGTCGTATAATTTATGTTATGAGCAGGAGTGGAATTATATGCATGTTTTAAAATGCATATTTTATATTCTATAAGAGATTATACTAGGTATGATGAAATAATCATTTGTAGTAGCTGCAGCTTATTTTGCATTTTGAGAAATTTTTATGATGCTTTGACACATCACTGATTAATACAGTTTTTCATAGCTGGTGTTTAACCTTTTCTTCTCAGGGGTGACACTGTTGGCTACCACAGCTGGTCTTTATCTCATTCCTTTTTGCAAAACACCAGTGTTACTGATCGTTATGATGTCTGTCTTCGGTGTTGCACTTGGTGCCCTGGATACAGGTTAGTGAATCTTCAGTGTTTTCTCTGGGAGTATGTGTTTGTAGGAGAAAAGTAAAGTCACTTGTTAGAATGATACAAACTTACTGAATTGCTTGTGGGTCCCCAGTCAGACCCACCCTTCTAGTAACTACTCTTCTTGCTAATTAATATACCAATTTTTGAGCCGCCAACTATAAAGTGAATTTGAAGAATTTTACTGCATGGGAAATTGTTGATTTATAGTATTGAGACAGGAGGATTCTTTTCTTAGGTATCACAGTGCAGGTGAATAGCTTTCATTTTGGAACAGATTTTTATCCTTCTTAGAAGAAGTGACTTAAGGATATAAAATACATTTTAAACCAATATTTGCTGTGAAAATACAGAAGCCACCATCCAATTTAATGTACTCCAGATTTTTAAAAATATGTTCACAAGCTTTGCGCAGTGGCAGTATCGTAGCCAATGAGGTTTATCCGAGGCACAATTATTGCTAATTAAAAATATGTTCACATATATTAATTACACAAATATACTCTGGATTTTGAGGTGAGAGAAACCTATGGCATGTACTACTATCCTTGTATGTCTTTTCTTTTCTCACTCAAATGTTCTGCCCTATTCTAGTAGAGCTTCTCCCTGGGTCATCATGTCTTAGAAAACATTGTTGAGAATGGATTACTGCCAAATCTAGCTCCCTAGGCCTCCTTTCCCTGCTCTAATGTTATTTGACACATTGTGGAAATATTTTATACTCAATCTTTCTTTGATGGTAAATTTACAGAAATACATGCTTATCAGAACATAATCTGATTACAAAAAGGATAGCCAGTGACCGGATGTTCTTGCCTTTGACCTTGCAGTTGTTTAGACAGTATAAAAGCAGTTCCTGCAAGATGCTCTCATGTTCTTAACAGGCCCAGCAGAATCCTGGAGTATTCAGGTTCCTGATTATATATTTGCATCTGCTTTACACATATATAAAATAATATTCTTAAAGTCCCCACAATAACAGATAGCTTTGGAAATGTGACCATAATAAGATTTGACATGGTAAATATATGTATTTAATATACTTACAAGTAAATAGGCCTGTGATGATTGCTTCCCAATCCCATGTTAACACTGGTTTATAGAAAGCCTTTGCTAAAGTGCCTGCCTGTAGGACTATGGTTTACCAGCTTGTAGCATTCCATATATGTGTATGAGATGCTATAATGTGTGGTTTTCTGGTGACAGTGGGTTAAAGTTCTTTAAATACAGAATTGACTCAGATGCAATGGTTGGTAACTGAGAATATTACAAAGCTGTTGCCATGTAATACTGACATCCTCTCTCTCATAATAATAAGATTTTTTTTTCTTACTAAGTTACTGTTTAACTTAGTTTCCCTATCCTACTTTGGTAGGTGGGAATGTCCTTATCTTGGCTGTTTGGGGGGACAAAGGAGCCCCACACATGCAGGCCCTGCACTTCAGTTTTGCCTTGGGTGCCTTTTTGGCTCCTCTTCTGGCAAAATTGGCCTTGGGAACCACAGTGTCCGCCGAAAACCACACGGAGCCTGACCTTCACCCTCCAGCCCTCAACCAATCCCCTGAAGCTGGCCCAGACCCTCTGTTTGCAGTACCTGATGACTTGAACTTACTGTGGGCTTATGCTTCTGTCGGCGCATACATTTTTGTGGTTTCTATCTTCCTGTTTGCTCTGTTTTTCAAGAAAACCTCGAAGCACGGAAAATCCACAGCATCTGCCCAGGTGTCTCGAAGAGCTAAATATCACAAGGCCCTGCTCTGTCTCCTTTTCATGTTCTTCTTCTTTTATGTTGGAGCTGAGGTAACCTACGGCTCTTACGTTTTCTCATTTGCAACCACCCATGTTGGCATGGAAGAAAGTGAAGCGGCTGGGTTGAACTCCATCTTCTGGGGGACCTTTGCAGCCTGCAGGGGCCTGGCAATCTTCTTCGCTACGTGTTTGCAGCCTGGAACCATGATTGTGTTGAGCAACATTGGCAGCCTGGTCTCATCGTTATTTCTGGTGCTTTTTGACAAGAACCCACTTTGTCTCTGGATAGCAACTTCAGTGTATGGGGCCTCAATGGCCACCACCTTTCCCAGTGGCGTTTCTTGGATTGAGCAGTACATAAGTATCCATGGTAAAGTTGCATCATTGTTTGTAGTTGGTGCTGCCCTGGGAGAAATGGCTATTCCTGCAGTAATTGGAATTCTTCAAGGACAGCACCCAGATTTGCCTGTAGTTCTCTATACCTGTTTGGGGTCAGCAATATTCACTGCTGTATTATTTCCCGTGATGTATAAATTAGCCATCTTGCCTCTGGACCTTCAACGGAAAGAAAACAGAAGGAGTGAGGACCACAAAGCTTTGCTAAATGACTGTGAAGACAGTGAAGGAGAGGATGCAGAAAAATGGAATGAGATGGATTTTGAAGTTGTTGATATGAATGTTACAGTGAGGCCTTCTGTCATACAGACATCTAGAAATATTTTGATAGACCCCAGAAGTGATGAACCCAACTGTTTGCACTCAACTGCAGTGATGTTTGAGCGTTAAAGCTGGTGATTCTCTTATAGAACACTTTGCCACAGATCAGTAGAACATGGACTGGCATCAGAGAGAAGATGGATTACTTAGTGACTTCCTTGAATAATTGCCACTTCTAAGGAATCCATTTGGAACAGAGCCTTAGCAGATTTTCTACTTTATTGCTTTATTGGTCCATCAATAACAAATGCTAAAAAGTTTGAAATACCAGTTGGTCTTATACAGTAGAGTTTGGTATGAGAATAGTGTTTGACATGAGGCTGAGTAGGTAATAGTTTATGGTTTCCACCTTTCAGAGCATATAGAGAAAGCTTTTTTTTGAGAAGTTGGGTGGAGTTCTAATAGACCAAAACCATAGAAAAGTGGAATTGATTTTCTGAGGAAATGATTGGACATCCATACTCTGCTGGGGAGTTGGGTTGAGTTTTTTCATGGAAGAACATCCTTAGAAATAGATATTTTTATTGTTTTACCTTTTCTGTATGGTTGAACCAAAGAATGCTAATGACTTATTTCAATTTATATTTCTGTGAAGAGAACATAGATCAGGGCCCAAAGGATCTGGCTTCAAGAAATGATGCAACCTTTGGGTCTGTATTGCATCACTTAACATATGTCTCATTTTTCTCAACGTGTGATCTTTCCTGCTATAAGGGAAAATGAGATGAATTCCAAATTGATAAATTTAATGGGTTTTAAGTTTACAAGATATCTGCTGGAACAGCACAGTCTTCAATTTAAATGATCTGTGCAACAAAAAATGATAAATATCTCTTAGTGTGCTATTAGTTATGAATTCATGACAGCTTAATGTGATTTAATGTCTTTGAGTGAATATTTAAGTACTGTAGGTGCTGTATTTCATTGCTCCTAAAATGTACCTTTTTCCCATATTCTTTTTTTTCCTGAATCTCATTCTTTTTTAACATGTCTGAAATGGGGTATGTCTTGCAGTTACCATTTAATATATGACAATTTTATTTGACAGGTTTTTTCCATATATGTAAAAAATTGTGTTCTGTAATTAGTGTCTTAGTTTCAGTGAAATATAGTGTATGGAGATTATACTATTTTTGGAGATATTTGTAAAAAGAAAGTTATTTTTATATGCTAGTTTCCTCGTTAAGTTTAGAGGGGTTTTGGAGACACTATGTTCTGATGTCAAGAGTGACTGTATTGTCAGTAGGGTTTGGATGGATCTTTTGAGGCCCTTAGCTTACATCAGGACCTTCTACAGGTCTGAGCCTTGCTATGGTCCTTGGTGTATTTTGGGTGGTAATCACAGTATAACTACTGCAAAACAGGCACAGATTCTCAGTTTGCAGTGAGCGGGACACTGTCTTCTTCAAGGACTGGAATACATGAACCACCCATCCAGACTTCTTCCTGTGTTTGAAATACCTGGGCTGTCAAACTACAGTTGAGAAAGTGGTGTGGTGGCCTACAAGTCAGGGATGAGAAAGGGAGAACTTCACACGTATATGGCAAAATTACTGTGGCTCTTCTTTGATAAATGACTAGAACTGATGACCGAGTTTGTTTACCTTTCCCCATATTTTATGCTAAACGATGTCTAGTTTCTCTGAGTATAGCATCTTTGCTTTCTTTTAACTAACTTCAATAAATTCACTCTCAAAGACTTGCTTTGGTTCATCTGACATGAAATATAGTACCCATATACCTTATATGCCCAGCTCAACATGGGTTCATGTTAGTACCCTTGGAGAGAGCTGTCAGATTGGTAGTGGAAAACCCATTCCTTTTTTTTTTTTTTTTTTTTAAAGCTACATTTGTCTCGGGCTTAGAAAATACCTTTGCTCAATTTACTGCTTTTCCTCAAGTTGGGCTTTGAGCAGCAGTAGTAATCTGGCCATAGGAGTCTTGTTTCAAGAGAGATTCTGTTGTGAACATTTCCTTTTTAGATGGTAGAAGATGGAGTTGAGAGAGAGAGAGAAGCAATGTGAGAAGAATATGGCACAAAACCTGGAAATCCACATTGGAAAATTCACTAAGACTACAATCCAAAATACAAGTGGCTCTTAAGATAGCAGGCAGGGCCAGGGATTTAGCCCAGTGGTTCCGCCACCTGCTTCACAAATGTAAAGTCCCGAGTTTGATCCCTGGTACAAAAAAAAAAAAGACTGTATGGATAGATCTAAGACAGCAGGCATTATTATGGTTTGAAAATGTATTTCCATACTGGAAGGAAAAGATAAGTCAATTCCAATAATTAGCATATGGTCAGTTCTTAGAGAAGTGTCTCTTGCTACACAATAACCAATACCCATGTTTTCTTTTTTTAAGTAACAACCACAAATGTAGTAGCTTAAAACAGCATATATTATTTCACATTTCTGTGGGTCAGGAATATGGGTGTGCGTTAACTGAGTCTTCTCTTTGGGTCTCACAGACCTGTAATCACTGTCAGGTAGGGCTACATTCTTTCCTGGTGCTTGGCAGTCTGTCAGGATGTGTGTTTGTTGATAGGATTTAGTTCCTTGCTGTTGGGCCAACTGATGTTCCCATTCCCTGTTGACTACTGGTCACCACTGTCAGCTTGCTACCTCCCAGAGTTTCTTGCTGTGTGAACCTCTCATAGATCCTTTTAGAACATGGCCACCTGGTTGAAGGCAGCAGAAGAATCTCTTGCCCTAGAGAGAAAAATCCCTGCTAATCCACAGTGTAGTTATGAGAGATGACATCCTATCACTTTTGCCATGTTTGACTTGAAGCAAATCAGACATTCTGCCCATATGGCAGAGCAGAGGCTAGAACAGGGATGTGACTCATCTGGGTTCACCAGAGGAATGTCTGCTGTACTGGGGTACCATGCAAAATCCAGTTCTCAAAGGGGCTGGAAACTATGAACTTTGAGAAAACAGTTACTCAAAGTGGCTTTGAGTGTACCAGTGTGGGATTGGAGTGTTCCCTGCAGTTCAGGTGAGCAAAGCCCACTGTGCAGATCTTTTTGTTTGTTTGTTAGACACTCAGAATTAAGCCTTTTTCCCCCTCTAACATTTTATTTTTGTCTTTTACCATTTTTAACCTCTTCAGATGGAGCTTAATAGGAAGGAAAAAATTAAATATCGTAAAATACAGGTTTTAGTACTTTTCTCAATTACTCTATTGTTTTTTAATAAAAATTTTACTTAAGAATAAGTTTTTATAGTCATATATAAAAAGTTATGGTAGAAATTGATCAGGTGCATAGAAACATAAGTGTAAATAATACATAATACTAAGCACCTAGAGAAACTTAAATTTTTCACCAAACATAATTTTGTAAGGAATAAAGGGGGTACAAACTCTTCCAACTAGGAACTGCATCAGAAAAAACAAATGTTGTGTCTAAAATGCATTGACATGGCAGTTATTGGACTAGTTATTTCTTTTTTGAAAAATTGTAGTTTGTTTAAATATGAGTGGGAAGGGTAGGGGAAAGGTCATAAGGGAAAAGAAAAAAATATGAGAAAATGAAAAAATGGAAGTAAAGTATTTGTAAGTGGGGAGGGTAGGAGGGGTGAAGGGAGGGCAGGGACAAGGGGGAAAAATGAGAACCAAGAGCTGTCATGTAAAGGTACAAGATCCCAATGATGAATGTATCTGTACTGTGTACCTAAAATGTACCAATAAACTCAAATAGAGGAAAAAAAACAACAACTGGGGGGCTGGTGACTTAGCTTAGAGGTAAGTAGTGATATTTTCACTTTGTCCTTTACTTCTTTCTCTTTCCTGATTTCTCTGGCTAATGTTTTGAGGACTTTGTTGAACACGAGTGGTGATGACACTCCTTGTGATGGACATTCTAATCTTGTTCCTGATTTTAGAGGGAAAGCTTTTAGCTTTTCCCCATTTAATCTGATGTTGGCAAAAGGTTAGTTGAAAATGGCTTTTCTCATGTTTAGATAAAGTCCTTCAATACCTCTTTATTCAGGGTTTTTATAACAAATGCCTGTTGGATTTTGTCAAAGATCTCTCTGCATTTATTGAGGCAATCATGTGATTTTTGTCCTTTTGTTATGAGTTACATTTATTGATTTGCATGTGTTGAACCATCCTTGTATCCCTGGGATAAAGCCTGCTTGGTTATGGTGTGTACTTTTTTTTATTTTGTCCCATTCTGTTTGCCAGTATCTCATTAAGAATTTTTGCATCTACGTTCATTAGAGAAATTGGCTTATAGTTCTCTTTTTTGGTTGAGTCCTTGTCTGGTTTTGGGATCAGGATAATGTTAGCTTCTGAGAATGATTTTGGAAGCACTCCCTCTCAATTTCATTAAAACATTTGAGGAGTACTGTGTGTTAGATGTTCTCTGAAGTTCTTGTAGAATTCAGCTTTGAATCCATTAGGTCCTGGGCTTTGCTTAGTTGGTAGTTTTTTTGTTTTGTTTTTTAATTACTTGCTTCAATTTCATTGCCTGTTACTGGATTGTTTGAAAAGAAAAATTTGTCTTATTCTATTTGAGTTTTTTTGGTAAGAATCCTTTTGGTTTATGTCTTGTACTCTGAGTAACTACTTTGAAGATAATATGCAGTGTAATTTTTGTTATTCTTGTATTTTTGTTGTTTTATTTTTCTGGTACTGGGGATTGAACTCAGGACCTTGTGCTTGTCAAGCAGGCACGGTGCCACTGAGCTAAATCCCTAGCCCTTGTTATTCTCATATTTGATTATGAAATTTTGGGCTTTTTGTAAAATAATAGAAAATCACATGGTTGTTTCAAGTGAGGATTTTTCTTCCCAATACACTGGAAACTAGCAAGTATCTGGGGTAAGAAAGGCTGTGTAGATACCTTGTCAAACGACATAAATGGTTATGAAAAAAATTATGTCCTTTAACCTGTTTTCAATGAGTCATGATAGTAAACAGTAGTGCTTAATGGTCTCAAAATAAAAGGTTTGGGCCTTCTAATATATGTAAAAGAAGAAAGGCTTTATGAGATGATGAGCTTAATTCTAAGACAGGGGGTTAACCTTGTTTTGCTAAAAGCACTTTGGCCAGTTGGCATTTTTACTAGGTTAAGCTTCAGCTGGGTATTTATAATTTTCTATAGTATACATATATATATGTTTCACATTTGTTTCATTAAATTTATCGGTACATTTTAGGTGTACAATACAGTTACATTCATCATTAGGATCTTGTACCTTTTTGTGATGTATCCTGGTTCTTATTTTTTCCCCATATCCTTGCCCTCCCTTCACCCCTCCACCCTTCCCTATTTACAAAGACTTTATTTCCATTTTTTCCTTTTCTCATATTATTTTTCTTTTCCCTCTTTCCTTTCCCCTCCCTTTGCCAGGTATCAAATTTTATCACTTTGAGGCTGGGGATTTAGCTCAGCGGTTCAGTGGCCTGCCTTGCAAGCGCAAGGACCCGAGTTCGATCCCCGGTACCAAAAACAAAACAAAAACCAAAAAAATTTTATCACTTTGAATGTTTACAATCAAGAAGATATTTTTTCATTTTCCAACATTTCTTCAGGGGTTATTTTAATTATATCTTCTTTTATCTATTTCTATTTTGTTTATAGGTCTTTCAGAGTTGATAGGTTTCTGCACTATGAGTTCTTAGGGATTCTTTGTTTTCCTTTTGACTTAGGTATTCACTTGCTGAGTGCATTTCATTTCCGCTGTCTAAATTGACTGCTGTGTGTCTTTCGAGCATTTGTTGTTGAGCTACTACTTACTGGGTGGCCTGGAGAAAGGTTGTGAAGTTGTTAGATGACATGAGTAGCACGAGGGATCGGGCTCCTCAGCTTCTGAACAACCCGTTGAGAGTAGCAGTGTTTTCACGCACACTGTTTATTTTTATACGTCTCTCAGAAGCGTAGTCTTCACCGTTGTAACCATTCCCTAGTGTGCAGGCC